TATGTATGTATGTATGTATGTATGTATGTATGTATGTATGTATGTATGTATGTATGTATGTATATATATATATATGTATGTATATGTGTGTGTATATGTATGCGTGCGTGTGTGTGTGTGTGTATTGTGACTTGTTTTTCTTCTTTTCGTCACATGGTCTTTCTCGTTTTCACTGCTTGCTCGAATAAGCAGAATAAGTAGGGATGCATAGAGACTTAAGGGAATATATACAGATATATTTAATAGCAAAATTTATATTTACGACAATGTAAATAACGTCATCTATTGTATTCAGAAAAAGTACAACGAGTACGTAATTCTTTTGTAACAATTATGTTGTTTAATGTACACTCTTTTTAAATTATGTCCATAATCTACACGGGAGAAAATGGTTTGGTTAATTCAGCAAATCTATAGCTTGGAAAATTAAACATTATAACTAAGCAGAATTACTAATGCAGCAAAGATATTAAGTCTGAGAGCAACTCGCTCTCATAGAGCAAATCCATTTTTTATATTATCTTAATTATTGCAACAATTTTTTTTCATATTTCGAGCGGATTGAAGTTTGCCAAAAACAAATCCATTAATTTTACTAAACAAATCATGCAATTATTTAATAGATAATAAAGAAATATTTTTCTTCGTTTTGTGGAAAAGAGCACTTCCATTAAGTCTGACTGCAAATGTCCGTAATGAAAATATATATTATACAATTCAAATTTGTTTTTTTATGTTAATAATTGTATATATTTGTGGTATAATATATTAATATAAATTATATGTATCTTTATATATGTGTACGCGTTTATATTTATAATATTTTATTATACTATTTGAATGTGTGGTTGCAGAATAAATATTCGAGACATTTCAATGAGCATTTTTATTTCAGCCCATTTTTGTTGCTGGAGTAACTGATGATTTAGCTATATTGAAATCCGCGCTTTAATGTACCAAATTTTTTTTTAATACATCAACAAAAAATTGGTTGCACATATCAAACTTTGTTTTCCATTAGTTATGGCATAGAATCTTCTCATCTTTGCTGTACAAATTATATACTATCAAGAAATCTGTGGTGTTATATAACATCAGGTTATTTTATTAGGTACAACTACAAATTTTATGCATCTTTGCGACATGATTATTTTAACATAGCAAACTAGCTGTCCGTATATTACAGCTATAGATTTGCTAGGCTAACGAGGTTTTCAATTGTCATAATAAACCGTTTTCTTCCGTATACGAACATTCGATTGTAACCTTTGCCGCCGCAAATAATTACTTGCACACGCCAAATGTCGCATGTACCTTTACATGCATAACTACACTGAGAAAAAATACTTTGTATTTGTAGTTGTAATTACATAAAGAAACAATTACTATAAATTATGGTCAAGAAAATTATTTTTTAAAATTAAATTCTGCTATAATGTTAGTCATAATAATCTTATATGCATGTTACTAGTACTATTTTCGTATCAAAACAACCAAAAAATATGATTGAAGCTAGAAATAGCTGTAATTTTATTTGGATCAATCATTCCTTCTCTCAGTATATGGTTATTCGTGCGATTTTCAACATATATACGTACACTAACCGGTAAACACTTTGACATTCACTGCAAATAGACTATTAAAATTTTCTACCGTGTTATTGATTTATCCGAAGTTTTTATATTAATCAAATTTTCGATAAAAATTGATACAATTAATCCTGAGACCTCGTGATTTGATCCGTAAAAATACACTCTTCCAATGCGTTTACAGTTATTACATCAGCGGACACTGTAACGTTTGGAGGAAAGTTAACTGTGTTATAAAATTGCTTTGATAAATAAGAAAAAGTATAAAAACAGAAATGATAATAAAAAATTATTATAATATAATATTGTAAAATAGTTGGAAAATCATGAGACCAAGTATATAGGGCATCTCACACTTTTATCGCATTATCTTGCAACTATAAAATCTCTGGCAAATTTGATGTCACAAATTGTGCCGAAGATGCCAAAGAGCGTTGATAATATTGGAATATTTATAATGAATTTACATATATCAATTTCTTATTGATGAAAAGCAACAATTGCGCATCAAAAACAAAATTTTAACTAAACTCGATTTGAAAACTTAAGCTAACTATCCAGTCAACAGAGGTTACTTAGTGTGTCCATTTTCCGCATAATGCAAGGTATATTTAATTTTTAATGTACACTCATTTGCAAAATGGTTTGGACACGTTTTCACCGATGAGATTGGGAATGTATCGAATGATCATAATTGCAAACCACTACAAACCTGCATGGTATTTGGTTGTGACTTCTGTCACAACCAAATACCATGCAGGTTTGTAGTGGTTTGCAATTATGATCATTCGATACATTCCCAATCTCATCACATTGTATATTAGCATTTTGACACAGAAGTCAAAATGCTAATATACGAGATATGTAATGTAAAAACTGCAATAAAAGAGATGTTTATTATATTTTTATCTGTCAAATAAAAGTATAATAAAAAACTAATATTTACGTCACGTATTTTAATTTCGGCTCCTGTAATTAGTAATTGCCACATAAATTCTTAAGTAATGACTGACAAATTGTGACCGTCTCATACGATAACTTTGTCAAAAAAATGTGTTCAAACCATTTCGCAAACGAGTGTACACTGTAAAATAAGTATATATTATAATTACGTCATTAAAATAATATATTTTCATTAATAAATAAAGGGTTAAATCATAGTTTAAATAATACATTAAATTAAATTTATTAAAATTGATGGAATAAAATTATTAAATAATGTAGGATAGGATAAAAATATTCCGTTAAAGATTCAATTTATTTTCGAAATTAAGGCAGGCTGGTGGATTTGGTCTCAACCTTGCTGTAAGAATGGTCCGCAACTTGTTAGACATTTATTATGCATAGGATTTATTTACATAGAAACAACATAGACAATGTTTAGATGCCAAATCATTAACCCGCCTAGTCAGTTTGTGTAAAGGTAATGAAAAGAATCGGAAAAATCCACGTTTTTTTTACGTATCCATATATTATGATAAAAATGATTTATTTAAAAATTACAATAATTTACATTCGAGAAAGCATTCTCGTTTTTATACACAGAGAAAAGAGAATTCACTGCAGCAGCTAATTATAGTTTGCTGAAAATGTACTTGTTGCAGTAATGAAAAATTTTCTGCTGTAACATAAACTCATGCTACAGTTATTACTGCACCATAAACTGTTTCATAGACAAATATATATCTACTGGCAGCTATACTTTTAGGTATCCATATGTTACAATGAAATGTAACTGCCACACGCACACACAGAGATTCTTGCTGCCGCAGATAACTCCTCTTTTTCGTGTAAAGGATACGTTGTAACGTCTCTTGTGAGACTGTTATATTATTGTTTGCATGCAAACAGAGTACACAGTGTCGCACATGTTGTAGCACCGCGTTGAATATCGCTGAGGACACAACAACGATTTTATATAATTAATTCGTCTGTTCACAAGCACGTGTGAAGTTGAAAATCGCAGAAAATCCTAGCGGGCAAGTGTTAAGGCGTAAACAACACCGGCTAATCGCGTCGCCATAGTTCAGGGCTTCACACTCGCTCGGTTATATCGTTCTTATAAGGTTGAAATAATTTCGGTGGCTCGAGCTTGGTCGTTTGCGTCGTTGTTGCGAGCGAGACCGACGAGGAATCTGGAGTGCTGTTATACACATTGGTTCTTTTCTCAAAGGTGCTTGGCAACGGCGCCTCGGCTAGACTCTGAGCGACCGGGAGTCTCATCGACTCGACTTCCTCGTCCCGTGTGTCTATCTGCTGCTGCTGCTGCTGCTGCTGTTGCACCGGAAGCGCGCTGATGCCACAAGATTGGGATCCCCGATGCTGTTGCTGGCCGCCGACGTAGTCGCAGTCACTGGATGCGTCCGAGTTGGCCGGGCTGAGTTCTCGTAGCGTCGTATGCCGATACGTCGTGGTGGCGGCAGATGACGGCGGACTGTTAACGAGGAAAGCCGGCGGATTGCTGATCGTCGGCAAACCCAGCCCGTTGTGAAGCGAACCAGGTGCGAGATGAGCGTGAGGATGCAGTAGCGGTGGGTGACCGGAAAAGTCACCGATGATGCGCGGGTGCGGCCTGTGCAGGGCGGATGCGTTGGTGACGGGCACTGGATATGGCGCGTACCGCGAAGCATAGTACGAAGCAGCCGCGGCGGCCGCGGCAACCGGATGCACCATCTGCGACGGCGGTAGGTGTGCCGCCGTCGGCAAACTTGGGGCGCCGTGGTAAGACACGGGCGGCAGCGACGCGGCTGCGAGTAACGTCGCGGCGATTGCCGGGTCTGTATACATCGTGTACGGCCAAGCCAAGGCCATGCGCTGCCTCTTGTCTTTCATACGGCGATTTTGGAACCAGACCTGTCAGCAGATTTTTGCGAGATTTAGAGCGGAGCGTGGAATTAGTTGCCTATTTCGGCCGATTCTCGGGAGCTACGCCTTCTTTCTTCCCCTTGCCGCGAGCGAGCTACGCAAATGACGATCGCGACCGGTCGCGGCTTCAAGCTTGAAGCCCGCTCACGGCAAAAGGAAGATAGAAGGCGTTGCTAACTAATTTCGAGCTCTGATTTAGAGATATTTCTGTGTGTAACGCGCCGTGTGTTTTTTTTTTGTATGTATGTACGATGTGCGAATATGAGACGGAGTGAGTGATGAGCGGAACGACAACGGTGTCCTCTAGATTTCTTGCAGATAAATATTGTTGAATATAGAAAAATATATTTAAAAAATGAAGAATTTTGCGTCATTTTTAATCTTTGCAATTACATATCTAATAGTTATGAAAGAGAAGAAGAGGGACAGAGAACAAGAATAAAAAATAGAGCGCAGACAGATGAAGAAGAAGAGGAGACAGAAAGGATGTATGATATTAATATGTTAATGTTTGTTGTTCTAATTAAAAAATATGTTCTAAAAAAAATAAAAAATTGTAAATAAAAATATTGTTCTATAAAGAAAATATCGGTGACTATTATAAGTATTTTTTTTTTAAATCTATGCTAATACATACACAATATAAATATAAATATCTTTCAAACCTCTCCCTATTTTATACCTCTTCCTATTTCCTATTTCTCTCTCTCTCTCTCTCTCTCTCTCTCTCTCTCTCTCTCTGTCTACTTTCCTCTTAATACTTTTCCAATTGGAAAAGTATACTAAAGTATATCTAAAGAATGAAGAATTTGGATGTTTTGTGTCGTTTTTAATCTTTGCAGTTACATATCTAATAGTTGTGAAAGAGAAGAAGAGGGATAGAGAACAAGAATAGAAAATAGAGCGCAGACAGAAGAAAAAGAAGAGGAGACCGAGGTAGACAGAAAGGATGTATGATATTAATATGTTAATGTTTATTGTTCTAATTAAAAAATATGTTCTAAAAAAAATAAAAAATTGTAAATAAAAATATTGTTCTATAAAGAAAATATCGGTGACTGTTATAAGTATTTTTTTTTTTAATCTATGCTAATACATACACAATATAAATGTAAATATCTTTCAAACCTCTCCCTATTTTATACCTCTCCCTATTTCCTATTTCTCTCTCTCTCTTGCGCGCTCTCTCTCTCTCTCTCTCTCTCCCTCTCTCTCTCTGTCTACTTTCCTCTTAATACTTTTCCAATTGGAAAAGTATACAGAGAAAAGTGTGCAATGATGCATCGATATTGGCTCACTCATTCATACGTCCTTTTTGCCTCTTGATACTTATCTAATGTCTTATTCTTATCTTTCCTCTGAAAATATATCGGCACAAGCAACATTAAACAATATAAATATAATACCGCGTAATACCGTAAATTAGTCTTTTAACGTAATTAACCTTTTACGTAAATTAATCTCTTGATATAACATGCAAACGAACTGTCACATGTGACAGCCGAAATCGGCACGAAACATATTGTGCAGCTTTATCTGTTAGTCTGTTCTTTTCGGCTAACTGCTGAACTGGTGCAATAAGAAAAAATATACTTGTCTCACTCTAACTTATTGCACCAGTTCAGCAGTGCAGCCGAAAAGAACTGATCATGTATGTGTGAGCAGGGGTCCTCATATCTCGGAAACTAGTGGTGTGTTCTAAAATTCATTGCAAAAGTTGTGACAACCTTTTTTTTGCCGACTGTAAGACAATTAGAAATCTTACGTACAAATGTTAAAATTTTCGTGTGTAATCTATTTTTTACTGTTATTTTAATGTAAAATTAACATATGTTATTCATGATATAAGGGTGCGGTCCCACGACACAGAATTTTCGCGTAACGCGTAACCGCGTAATGGCTCTCGCAGACCAGCGCGATTTGCAACGCGACATGCGATATGCGGCGCGCGCTATCCAATAAGCGTACAGTTTTTCCAGAATACCTGTACGCTCATTGGATATCGCTTGTCGCTTACTGTGTGTCGCGTCGCGCATCGCGCTGGCTGCGAGAGCCGGATTAAGGCCGAGATAAGGATTAAGGCAGAGACATAAACGTCGTAGTCGCAGACGTAAAGTAAGGCAGAGAAAAACGTAAACGTAAGTCATGAAAGGCTATTAGCCTCTGCTCACACACACAGATAAAGTTGCACAATACGTTTCGTACCGATTTCGGCTGTCACGAGTGACAGTTCGTTTATGTTATGTCAAGAGATTAATTTATGTAAAAGGTTAATCATATTAAGAGATTAATTTACGATATTATACGGTATTATATTTATATTGTTTAATGTTGCTTGTGCCGGTATATTAAACATGAATGTAAAAGAAAAATTGGCGAGTATCAATTAATTAATATTCAACGATAAGTATATAACACGCCACGGATGAATTATTTTTGCACAAACTTTAGAGTGGACTTTCTGGGACATATAAAATATGTTAAAATTAACATTTTATTTTTTCCTGTGTAAGTATCGATGAAAATCAGCACAATGGCATACACACGCACACACACACACACGTGATAATCAACATGTTAGTCGGCGTTCAACGGGTGACCAATGAAAATCAGCGTAGCAACATGGCAATCAGCAATTAAATCCAATAGCCACAGAGTGCGAATTAAAGTTGTTTTTCATGCGAAGAGTCATGCATGCCGCTAAGTTCGTTTTATAGCGAAAAATTTTACTTTCAGTGTGCTCCGTCGCAAGCTTGATAATTAGTTTTTCCAAACAGATTCGGTGTTATTTTCCAAACGTGTTGCTAAAATACCAATACAAACTGTCAAATATATGACAGTGTAATTATATGACTAACATCAGCTGACATACGATCTATCTGACTGGATAAACTGTTTTGCGATTATAGCAACACACCTGAAAACAGCAACTCAACAGCGGAAAATAACAGCAACTCTGTCTAGAAAAACTAGAGGCCTTAGCGTAGATTTTTGTATAATGCATAATGCATAACACATGAAGGAAGTCAACTAATCAGAGTCCTTCATTTCCATCCTGGGAAAGAAAATGAAAAAATCTGATTGGTTGATTTCCTTATGCGTTATGCAAAAGTCTGTGCTCCCACTCTAACCGTCAAGTACGCAACGGAGCACGCAGAGAGTAAAAAATTTCTCACTGTAGAACGAAATAAGCGGCATGCATGGCTCCTTGCAAAAAAAACAATTTCAAGTCATGTTTCGTGGGCAACGGGTTTTAGTCAATGCTCAACGGATGAACGGCTATCAATCATGCAAGAAAATATTCAAATCAAAAGTGGAAGGCATCAATGGCATCGTGTGTAATAATCCGAGTGTACGCAGAATAGAGTAAAACCGCGCGCACACACGTTCTCATCGAGGAGCGAACGATACAATGGAGAATTCTCGGAGGCGGCGAACGATTATACCGATAATTCGTGCGGGACGTTTACTGTCGCTTAACACCTTCCGGCAGTTCTCCGCGCCGTTGAGCGCGGGCGCGCGCATTTTACGACCGCCACGAGGACTGCGAGCTGGCGCGAGACGAGAAATTAAGAGATCCATTAAAGTCGGAGGTAGGCCGCGAGGCAGTCGCTAATTCAGCCGTTTAACACTTTCGTTCGACCGGATCGACCAGTCCCTCTCGCCCCTCGATCCTCGGGATCAGGCCCGTAAAAACCGAGTCGGGACCATATCGAGAGGGGGCCTGGAATCGGATTCGTTAACGTACAAGATTTCCTCACGCGGGGAGGAAGGAAGCTATTCCCCGTTCCGGCGCGCGTATTGCATCGGCGATGTCTCGCAGGACGATATTACGGCACTGTCGGCGAGGAGGAGAGAAGGATCAAAGGCGAGAGGTTGGAAGAATCCACGCTACTGAATCGCTCTCGAGGCTATAATCGCCGATCAAACACGGCCGCAGCTGGCCGCGACAAGAAACAACCAGCAGTTCTCGGCCCGTGAACAAGAACGCCTCTAATTGCCTCTATTAAGCGCGAGATGTTGGAGAAGGTGCGGTGGGAGGGAGGGGAGAGAGTATCCTTCGACGGGCAAGCAGTGAGAAATTCATCCCGAATATTGAAAGTGCATTTCGATTGCGTGTACACATTCGCGAAGACTTTATATGTTTAATCCTAATCTGACACACATTTTAAGCCTCAGCTGGTTTTTGTTCCCCCTGTTAAAAAGAAAAAGTTGTAGTTGGGGAATATTAAGTTTAAATACAAAGTTAAGTTATTTCTAGTGTTAGGAAAAAAAAGACAAAATTGCTTTAGGATCGTTTCAAACCGCAATTACTAAGATGTTAAAATATAAAATAAAGATGCAAAATAGAGATTTTTCGTTATATTTCGGTTGTTTATCTTAAATATAATACATAAAAAAGGTTTTATATAAGTCACTTATTTATTTCTAATTTTATTATACATGATCAAGGTTTCTGTATCGTTTAACTCTAATCACGAACAAAAAGAAAAAAATATGTAAATATAACAAATCTTTGTAATAATTTTAATAAAATCCGTATTATACACAACAAATTTAAGATCGCAAAACCTTAAAAACTAATAATTATTTTACTTGTCTCTTGACTGAAAAAATCGTGTATTTTCGTAACTCAAACAATAATGGTTTTTGATCAATTAAAATGCGTAAATTTTTTTTCAGGTTTAAGGTTCAAGTATCGACAAGAGAATTCTAAAGTATTAACTTCTTAAATTCATTTTCAAAAAAGTTATGTAAATTCATGTTTTTATCGCGTTCCTCCTTATGTTTGCAGTGAAATAAGATATTTAAGTGAATATTTGCTATTATTTCTTTACATAATTCTATTCTACAAACTTAAAAGAATGTGTACTCATAATTTTCTATATATTTTTATTAGCATTTTTATGGCATTTAAATAAGCGAAGACAGAAACAATCCTAGTGTGCCAGATTAAGATGCTAAAAAGATGAGTGCTATGTTAGGGTTAAATTTAAATTGCGGTATTAGCGTTTCTCGTATCGATTCACGCTCATATTTTGCGCGTAAGCACGTGCTAATTAATTATTTGCCTGATAATCGATTCATCGTGGGAATTCTCGACAATTCATGGTAATAAAAGGTTGCGAGAAATTATACCCAAATATAGAACGCAAATTTTGATCGTATAAACACTCACGGCGAGAATTTTATAGTAAAAATTACTAAAAAATTTTTGTAACTAAGGAACATACCGGTATTTTGTCTTGATTTATTATATATTTGCTTGATTTATATTATATATATATATATATATATATATACATATATATATTTATTATATATTTACTTGATTTATTATATATATATTTATTATATATTTTATGTTCTATTTGCGTCATTTATGAGATATATCTCAGGAACTAAAGTCTACTATTTATCCATAATAAAAAAAGTCATGTAGACGCAAGTTCGCTCGAGTCGAAATTATCGCAGAGTATTGTTACCGTTTTATCGCGCATCCGATTGGCCGTTGCGCGATGGGCGCGAACAGCGGAACGAGCGAGTGAGCGCGGCTGTCATCGTGTCGAAGACGCATGATGGTTATGCAAAAAAGGGTTATCCAAATAGTAAATAGGAGATATGTAAAAACGCTATGAAATTGTCGGTTATATCGAAATCTATCGAAACGTTGAGGCATCTTTTCCGCAATGCCGATTGATTGTTCGCAGGCGACTAGATTCGCGCCGCATGCAGCTGTCAGTCGCAACGGTGACAGATCGGAGGTTATGTTGTAGTTATGAACATAGTATACATGGACTCCGAATGCCCTATGTTCTATCGTCTCATAAAGTGAAGCCAATATCCAGAAAGAGAGCGAGAATAGAGGAGCTATAGTTTTCTTCCTATTTTGTCACTTTTTTGTTACGCATGCATCCATTTCTCGTTTCCATAATATTATAGAGCGCAACAACACCCCGACTAGACAGGCAAATAAAAGTCTTACTTAAATCTTATTGCACACTTTGTCTGTGCAGAAAGAGACAGAGAACAGAGGGGCTGTACATATTGGCTTCTCTTTTCTGACTATATGCGGAGTCTATATACAGGGTGGGCCAAATGTATGGATACACACGAATAAAACTTTAAGACAGAATTTTTGGATAAAGTGACCTGAATAAAAATTGCTCGGGCCTAAAATAACTATCTGCTGGTGACCTTGGATATAACCTTGACCCCAAACTTCAAGGTTATTTGTAGGTCAACTTTGCTTTTTTAAATAGAAACATATATGTTTTATTATAGAATTTTATTCTACGTAATTAAACAAACAACTTCTGTTTGAAAAAAATGTTTATACCACCTCTATTTTCTAAGATATTTACGAAAATATCTATAAAATTATTGGTTTCAATAATTTTTTATTCGAATACTACCAACTTTACTGAAAAATAGCAAGAGATAAAAATTGTTTATTTTCTTCTCATAGAGCTCTGAGAATTTTTTCAAAATTTTATATGAACTTTTTAGTACTTCAAGAAAATGCAAAAAAATGCATTATTAAAAAATTAATTAGAAAATTCTCGCTACGCGCGCGCCTTCCATCTCCTTTCTTAATATTTCATTACACTTTAATTACGTCGCGAAAAACTCACATAAACCTATAATCTGCATTGTCTCTCTTTGTCTCTCACTGTCTCTCCCTGCCTCTCCTACCTCTCCCTATCTCTCCTCATACCTCCTTGTTTCTTCCTGCCTCACTTGTCTCTCCCTGACTCTCCCCATCTCTCCCTGTCTCTCTCTGTCTCTCCCTGTTTTTCCCTGTCTTTCCCCTTCTCTCCCTGTCTTGCCCTATCTTTCCCTGTCTTTCTTTGTCTCTCCCCGTCTCTCTCTGTTTCTCCCTATCTCCCCCTGTCTTTCTTCTTCTTTTCCTGCCTTTTTCTCTTTCTCCCAGTCTCTCCCCGTCTCTCCCTGTCTCTCCATATAATTAATTAATTAAAATATGTTTTAATTTAATTTAATTTTAATTTTATTTTTATTTTATATTTTTTATTGTTTTTCATTAGCTATATAGCGCGCGCATGTATTGTTCTAGTTAACAAAATTTACTATATCGTTCTTAGTAAGAAAAAATCTACTGATTTATTTCTACACTAGAGGATTACACCGTTAAACTGAAAAGAATTTCACATGAAAAAAGTTATGATATTCTCTAATAACTGAAGAAAATTTTTTAATAATTGAAAAAGTATTTAAGTTTTACAATGTTTACGTTTTACTTCGATTTTACGTTCACAAGCTGCGTGCGTGCGCGCGAGTTTATTGATTGTTACTTCGCTTGATAATCGTCAATCGATCAATCATCGAAGCTTCACAATTCCCGAGGCCACGATTAAACGCTAGGATGAAGGTGCTAATGGGACGCGCCGTCTTGCACATTTCATACATTTCATCATATTTTACACACAGATAAAGTCATCGTTCGGCGAATTTCGCGCGCAATAAACGTCCATTCATATCCAATCAATATTCCCCGTGCACGATATGTCTAACTTACTTTGATCGTGGATTCTGGAAGTCCCAGTATCGTAGACAACTCGCATCTTCGCGGTCTACTGACGTAACTTTCTTTCTGAAACTCTTTCTCTAATCGCGCCAATTGTTCCCTCGTGAAGGCGGTCCTATATCTTCTGATGTTAGGATCCATCAGTGGTTGTTGCGATTGCGGTTGCTGGTCGTTTTGTTGCTGTTGCGACGACGATGTTTGCGGTGGCGGCGGCGGTGGTAGTGGTGGTGGTTGTTGTTGCCGCTGCTGTGATTCGTGTTGCTGATGATGATGGGTCGGCGACATTTCTGTGAAACAACAATAGATTTCGCTACATTAGTAATAGTCAATATTGATTCTCTCCATTTTTTCTCACACAATAACGCCCGTTTCTGCTAACGTCGTTTGAAAATCTTAAGTTTAAGTCTTTGTCTGAATAAAGAGTTGAATTTTAGATCTAGCTTTAATCGGCATTGATAGAAACAGACATGAAGCAGCTGAATCACGCTCATTAACACATTGAATACCACAGTGATCATCGGTAATTAACGTTGCTCCTGATGTGTCTCACACATTGGTTTATATACATAAAGAGAATATTATAATTCTTTTTCATGCAAATTCATTTCAACTTTACTATGTTTTTAATAGTGCACAGACTATGTCACTGAGGTCTATTTTGCTGAGGAACATAGGAAATTTTAATGGTATCATAACAAATTTCACTCGAAACGTAGCAAACTTTTTCATAACACATTTCAGCTCGTATAAGTAGCACATACATAATAAAAAGGATAGTCAATTATTGCAGAATGTCAATCTATTCCTCGGTTACAAAACTCTATAGCAACTTTTACATACAAAAAAAATAATAACGTTACATAAAATTCTGCCCGTCTTTAAAACATAATTAATTGTATTTAATAACAAATTATATAATATATAATATATAATATATATATATAATATATATATATATATATATATATATATATATATATATATATATATATATATAATATATAATATATAATTATATAATATATAATTATATAATATATAATTATATAATATATAATATATAATATATAATATTTTAAGTGTCTTCTATATATAGATAAGATTAACGCTATATACTATTTCATACATGTGATTGTTGTGCCTTTACTTTATTTTGACATTGAAGAGGATTGAAATATCACCAAAACATCTGTTTAATTCAATCTGATATCCTAAATTTATGTTTATAATTCTTCTGATAACAGTGAATATAGTCGTACAGTTCCGCATGACGCACAATATAACTGTAATTAATTATAAATAACTAATATATATACGAAGATCGCAAGACGGTAGGAGACTTTCCTGTTAAGTTTACATGCGTTTTATCTGCAAACAAGCATTATCACGTGGATTAGCACTTTTCGGTAAATATTTAGATCAACTGGACCATCTAAAATAACCTTTAACTTGACATATACTGTAGAGGATTAATTCCTAAGTATAACATACGTTTTGAATTAAGCGGGTCTCTTTTAGTTTCTAAGATATTTTAAGTTGAAGGTATGTGATTGAAAGTAAAAGTAAGGATTGTAGGGTACTTTAAGATTGCATTCCAAAACGTCTTTTGTGAGGAAAATTTTATTTAATATCTATATTTATTAAAATATTATTAAATATCTATAGTTTACGTTACATATACTATATCGAGTAAAATCTCCTTAAAAACGACGTTTTAGGATGCAGCTTAGAGTGATATTTTCTCGTAGTCGGGTATCCCAGAACAATTTTCGAAGGCACAAGACGGGTTTTCGTGAAGGCACAAGAAGGATTAAGATGACCATAAAAGTCCTATATCATTTTGCGATATTTCTCAATTCGTACTATATCTCTACGAATGTTTCGAAGATTGCTCTAGGATATTTTGCATATCTTATTATGTTCAAAAACAGTAAAGGTTAAGGTTTGTTTACCTTATTTTATTTTGTTGTTACATAACTGCTTGCAGCAATTTCTTTAAATATGTTACTCGATATTTAGTTCATGAATGGTCTGTCGAATATGTGTGTATCTTACTAAATTAATAAGTCTATTGTATATCAAAAATAATAACAAATCCTGAAAAGATTAACAAAGATTCCTATACAAGGCATAAATTTAAGCGACTTATCGTTTTGGAATATTTCTTTGTAAAATTCGCTAAACTCAACTAAATCTCTCACTTTTACTAATCTTTTCAAGGTCTGTTATTATACGATAGATTTGTTTTACTAAGGCGAAAATCGATTACTATTCAACAAAGGATATTTTTATTTTAAAAAGTGATAGCAGACAATAAAAATGAATGTACTATATATAATATAAGAATTTATTTATATATTTGTAGAATTCTTAAACACTAATTAATAAACTATATATGAGCTTCTTTTATTTTAAACTTTACATATATTTAAACTGAGTTAGTAGAGGAATTATAACGTAAAAAATAAAGGATTTGCTTTATGCAGGACAATCGTCCTGTATAAAACAAATAACAAATAACGTTCACTTCGGTTATTAACGCTTCAATTTTTCGTCTTAGTAATTATTAATCGTCTTATTAATTTGATGAGTTTGACATATACTAAAATAACAGATCTTGAAAAAATCAATAAACTTGGGGTTAAATATACAACAAATATATGAAAAATACTTTTAATAATAAGGCGCGCACACTTTAACACAATCCTTGCATTCGGGAATCTTTGCTAATATTCTCAGGATTTGTTATTTTAGTATACAATGGACTCATCAATTTAGTAAGACGAAAGATTTGAACATATTCGACATGCTAAAAACTTTTAGCTCATATAATGACGTTTCTGTTAACATACAAAGCGCCCGCTTCTAAAGGAAGACTCAAACGATCATGATTGTTCACATACTACTGTGTGCAAAAAGTAAGACCAGTTTTCAATTTAAATCGCGCGGGTAAACCGCACATCATAAATATTTTTTTTCTAAGTTGGCAGCATTGTGACAGACATCTGTGACAAATTTCATGTCAAAACATTCATTACTTTTTGCTTTACGCTTGGTTTTGTACGACGCTAAAAGTGCATTCGGCGATTTTTACAATGTCTAATTATATTGAGCAAAGAAGTTGCATTAAATTTTATTTGCGGAATGAAATTTCGGATTCAGAAACGTTCAGGATATTGCAGAAAGCCTTCGAGGACCATGCTTTGTCGGAAAGGAATGTTTACAAGTGGTATAAACAGTTCAAAGAAAGTCGTGAAAGTGTTGAAGACGAAGAGCTTTCCGGACGACCATCAACCTCTACCGATGAACAACACGTCAAGAAAATCGAAGAACTTGTGCTTGCTAATCGTCGAATGACTGTTAGAGACCTTGCTGATGCTGTTGGTATTTCGAAAGGATCTGCCAATACCATTTTGAAAGATATTTTGGGCCTGAAACGTGTAAAATCTCGATTAATGCCAAATGCATCTTCTCACACTGCACTCGTTCTTCGTGACTTTTTCGCCAAAAATTCGATTTATATCGTTCCACAATCACCGTATTTGCCTGATTTAGCACCATGTGACTTCTGGCTATTCCCGAAACTCAAAAGACCACTGCGGGGAAATCGTTTTGAGACGATAGAAGAGATACAACGTGAATCGCTACGCGCTCTGAAAGCCATCCCGGAAGGCGACTTTAATTCTTGTTTCGAGGACTGGAAAATACGTTGGCATAAGTGTATTGTGTCGGGAGGGGATTACTTTGAAGGCGACGAAATAGATTTGGAAGAATAAATAAATATTTTTTAAAATAAATAAAAACTGGTCTTACTTTTTGGACACAGTAGTACGACTGCAATTCTATCTATACGGTGTCAAGAATGTACATTCTATGTATGAAAGTTTTTTGTTAATAACTTTTTAAGAAACAATGAGCGCCTCATCAAACTTTTAAATGTTACTTAGAAAGATATTTATATATAACACAAACCATGTGTTTTCCTGTTAAATATACACTATGTCGGCAGTTACGTCTTACTTATGAGATTTTTTTGTTGATAACTTTTTAATAAACTTTTTAATAACTTTTTAATAAATGAGCGATGATTGAAACTTTCTGCTACTTAGGGACATAATCTTGACAACATATGTCAAGATGAAAGTTATTGGAGGTCAGTCAATCTAAATATTTATCTGTTCTTTCTTCCTTTCTTTTTTATTTAATAACCAACAATTATTAGAAATTATTAAGTTATTTATTGTATCCTTCAAGGTTTTGAACAATAGAAAAAAGTCAGCGCGGCAATCAACGTGTTAACTGCGTAAGCGAGAAGATATGCTTTTAAAGTATAGTACTCTTGTGTCGATCAACTCGACAGTTCCAAGTCAATCGACGCCGAAAGAGAACTGTTTATCACAAATATGTGCCTACGTATGAGTAGGCTCGCATTCACTAATCATGTCAACATGCAGTTGAAGCCGTAAACTACAAGGAATTCTCATGAGGAAGAATAAGTGCGACAACGTTTACGTTATGTGGTAAACATAGCTCGCACGTTTAGTAGGGAACATCCGCAAAGGGCAACAGCAGGTGATCCCATTTAAGGGAACGAGAGGTCAGAGCTCGGGAAAAGTCTCAGGTCTACTCTGTTCACCTGGCAAACTCCCTTCGCTTTCAATGACGGATCGTACGTCCTCTCCGTGGCCGCTCTCCTTTGTCAGCGCATAGATGAGGCACAAACGGGACAAAACAAGAGAAATATTGCTTAAATACGCATCACTACTTATACGCTTAAAGCATTTCGTATTGTTTGTGTTTATTGCCAGAGTCGAATGGAATCGGTTTGTATCGCACTCGCGATATTCAATCAACATTGAATCAAGCGTTTGAAGCGAGAAGCGTACACTACACTCGAACAAATTTATCCTCTATCGTTGTTTGATTCAAATTATCGCGCTCAATATTCAGCGACGGGTCGTACTGCCCGAGTAGAAATATAATTAGTCCGCCTGAATCAAAAGCTAGTAGTTAACTAGTAGAATAGCTTAAATTTTCGAACTCGTTACTAATTCATTACTGATTGATTATTCAAATATAGAATTATAGATTATTGAAATATAGAATCAGGTTGCCTATTAAATATCAAATATGATATGGTAGATATGACAAGTATAGTGCTCTCTGTCTATTCTAAAATATATAATTTAACTACTATATCACCATTAGCGTTATAAAAAATTAGCAAATCAAAATTGAAGTTACATTAATTTGATAAAAATCTCAAAAAATCGAGTGTTACATTACTAGCACTAGCAGCCACTTATAATTTTTCACCTCATAACTGTAATTTCACTTGTTTGATTATCAATTAATTTATTTATCTAGCTATTATAGGAGAAGTGAATGTTATTAATGTTAGACGTTAGATAGTAATAATGTTATTTAAAATTTACTATCTTATATAAAAATTTACTACTTCGTGGCTGGACACTGACGATGTTCAATTTCTACTTGGGTAGTCATCTTTCTTATACTGTTTACTTTCAGAGCTTTTACTCTAAAACTTTGTTTAAAAAGCGTTCGTGAGAAACGAACAAATAATGGAAAGATTGCGAACCGATTCGATCCGCGGAATCTAAACGCGATACATTCGCGCGAAAACACAATCGCAAGTTGTAATATATTTGTAACAAATATTAGAATATAAAGTAAAAGTTCTCTTAGAAACGATTTCGTTGTTTTAAACCATGAGATCTGTCCGTGAATTATTCAATTTAGCAATCACACCAAACAGTCGCGATTAGGTTCTTACAGCCCTATTCGCTTCTCATTAAATTGTAACACAAATATGTTGTATAAAACTCTTTATCCCGCGTTTTCTACATTTAGTATTTATAGATTTTAGTCTACAATGGCAAGTACACGGAGAAAATATTGTAATAGGAGTTACAACAAAATTTGGTACATAATCTTCGACTCCACACACAAAAATTATAATCTTAATTACCTAAATATCCGTTTAAAAATGTTACGTAAATATGCCTTTACTGCAATATTCTGCAATTTTCTTACTATAAAACTATTGTAATTACTTGAATGTTTTTCATATCATACTCGATAGATCGAACTTAATATTTCTGTAATAATTTGTAATACAATATGTCAGCTTTACACACAAAAAACAGGGTAGAGTGAAATATAATTTTGATGTAATTTTTGTTGCAATATTTCCTTCGTGTATAATAAAGTTTTGTAAAATACATTTACGGATGTAGTCTTACATATGACATAATAGTTTTTTTTATGATTTTTTAAATATATTAAGAAAAACCCAAAGAATTGGGAGGAAGAAGCGGATACTTTTCAATTGTGTATATTTTATTGAGTAAACTCAACGGCATTTAATTAAACGATCACAAAGACGTTGCAATGTGTTATTATATTCTACCAGTTAGTATAATCAGTGGCAAAAAGATCTCTACATTTTATGGCAAGTAAGATTTTTCTTTGTTTAAGTTTCGCGACGCATATCTGTATCCAGTAGAGGAGAATTTGTCTTTCAATTCAAATGATAAATTTTCCTATTGATATCGGTTTCTGAAGTTCATCGAGATATAAATACCGCGATCTCTTCACTACTAACAGTATATATGAAATGTCCTTGCCGTACAAAACAAAATAACGACTATCAATAGAAAGAAAATAAACGAGTTACGTTCTAAACTTTTCTCGTTCAACGATTTAACAACAGATATATATACATTCGCTTGCGTAATGGTTTGAATACTTCATCGTATCACTCCTAGAAGCATTCGACGTTAAATGAGAGAACTTATCTTGTGATGATTAATAAGTCCTCTCGTTGGACGTCGGTCTGCTCCGCAGTATGTCGAAGAAAACATTCAAACCGTTCTGCGAACAAGTGTACAAACACGAATGAGATTCGCTATTGTCGCTCCTCACAATTTTCTTTATATCGCATTCTCCTGATCGTTAGTTCTCGCTTACGCATCGCGTTTGAAATAAATATGTTTATGCGCGCGCGTCGCGTGTAATGTTGCGTCGCATGTTGTGTGTGCGTGCAAAGTTTATTTATTAATAAATCACTCACCGTTGGGACTGTCGCTGCGAATGCCATTGCTGGACTCACCATTCTCGGTGGTACTCGACACATTCGTGGGTGAAGAAATATGCAGTCGACTGAATTGATAATACGGGGGGACCACATCGATGATCATTGTTTCCCGCTGTCGTTGCTCTGGCAACAAGTTTTGATGTGAGGAAACTTCCGCAGCAGAATCATAGTGCATAAAAAATGATCCATGCAACATTTGAGCACTTCACTTCTAACTAGTGCAAAAAAATCTTGATGTAAGTATATGTTAATATTATACAGTCATGTGGACCAGCACTTTTGTAACTTTTTCTTTTCAAATGCACGTTCTTCGCGAGCAGAAATACTAATGTGAGAAATACTAATGCGAATTTGCTGCTCTTGTAAAGATGCGCTTCGAGATGCCAATAACGACACAAACCCTTACGTGCAACTAACCTCCAACTAGCCGAGAGACTGCTTATAGACGCTGAATGAGAGCCTGCACGCGGGCGGTTCTCGCTTGTGCGATGATAATCCTTGCCCTCTGATTGGCGAGAGTCGCAAGCTAGGCTAGTCAACAGTGGTAGGAGACGGCCAATCGACGCGCGGCATTCCGTACGTACCAGCAACGTCATGGATCTGTCCCACGAGATGAGATCTGCTCGTTCGAGTTCCTCTTCTTACACTTTCTGCACTTGAGGCTGATATGTACAGGGTGTCTGACACCACGCGTACGTTTGCTTGTGTGCGGATAGAACTTATCAAATTGATGCAGAAAGATCCATTTTGTAAACGACTGCGGTAACTATTGAGATGTTACAGGAAACTGGCAAATGATGCGATGGAACGATTTAAATGAACTTTCACCCAAGATATCCTGAATTTACTGACAATCTTAACAGCGACTGGTGCGTAATGCTTGACAAGGTGAAAATATGCAGTCAGTAATACTGGAGTTTTCAGCTTCAATGTCCAGGCAAAGTGTCTGACATAGGAATGGGGACCCATATAGGGTTTTACAATCGGCCTAGTACTGGGCCAATACGGGTTGTCGGAGTTCCAGTACTAGCACAGCACTGGAAAAACTATTGACGCAGTACTGGTGCTAATACCGGATGATAACTTTGGTCCAGTATTTGCAAATTGGGAAAGTACTAGCCCAACCGTTGTTAGCCAGTACTTTCCCAGCATTAGCAGTACAATCGGCTCAGTACTTAGACAGTACTGGTCGTCAGATTTGTAATACCGCCACAGAACTGCCCTTACAAAAATATCATACTAAGAAATATTGAAAAATTACTAATGATTAAGTATTACTAATTTAGTAATTTTAGTAATTTAATAATATTTTAGCCAGTATTTAATTTCTGGTAAATACTGATAATAAAATCACTGTTAAATATTGATAGTAATCAAATACTAAAAATTATTGTGCAAAGGTGAAAAATGAGAAAATCATAATATTATACAAAAATACATTTATAATTTTTAATTTTCTCATGTTTCATAAACCGCTAGGAACCGAAGATTGTTAACAACACGTTCCAGACTTTCGCGAATCCTCCCTCGATAATTTCGATCCCAAGCGGTAATACCAGTCACTATCCATATCCTGACTGCATTAAAGTGTTGCTTGACGATCGAGCGGCACGCGGTGATTCCAATGACTCTAACGATATTCTTACGATTTATGCTTATATAATGTATTCTTATAGTGTTCACAGTATATTATAACATACCTAGCAAATATCAAATAACAGTTATATAACTTTTATTTAGTCTTTGTTGGATAATTTGTTAATAGATATTGAAGCAATGCAACAACATTTGATATGCAATGGATATTGATATAGTATAGTGAAGCAGTGATAATTACTTTTAGATTTTTAACAGAATGTTTTAATGATTAATCCAAAAAAAAAGATCCAAGAAAATTCAAATCAAATTACTAAATTTTGAAAGAAACTTTTAAAGAATATTATTTAAAACAATAGTGTTGTTTCATCAAACGACATGGTTTCCTTGGACAAAATAAAAATTTATTTTCAAAATTGAACAAGTACGAATATTAAATTTAAAGAAACTTTCCTCTCCGAAAAAACTCTATAAGAAGTGTAAGACATATGTAATAAAACAAATTCTAGCAAAAAAAAATAATTAATGACTGCCACTAACAAGTACTATTCTAAGTACTATTCTATTTGCCAGTAATGGCTAAATACTGGCTGACAAAGGTCCGGCCAATGATTGGGTGCCATACGTTGGCTAAGCGTCGGCGTTCGGCAATCTTTCATTTGCCAATAATGGATGAATACTGGTTCACAGAAGTCCAGCCGACGGTCAAGTCGCCAAGTCGGTCAAGCGTTCGTTATTACTACTGACGATTCTACATGGGGACTAGATCTAGTTCCAAAGATTGGATGCACATGTTGGCCATTTCCTTAGTTTATGTATTTGCTTTCTAATGTATAATTAGTGTATTTTTCACTTAATGTGCTATATTTATAACTGGTGATTTATAAGTACACTAAGAGAAAAAAATTGTCGATCTAACTAAAGTTATTGTTATTTTTTACTCATATTTTTTGGTTGTTTTAACATGAAAACAGTAATAGTAACATCTCAGACAGCACAAATTATTAAAAGATGTCTTAAGAATGTTCAAAAGATGTCTAAAAGAAATAGAACGTCTTTTAGTACATTGTACTGTTTAAAATACATATAAAATCATTATTATTAATATTAGTGGAATTTACTAAAAAATATCTTTCTTGATTATAATTTATAATAATTATTTTTCTATATAATTATAGTTACAAATATTTTTTCACAAAATTGTCACGTGAATAAATTATAAACTATTGTGAAGTATGCCCTGGAAGATATATTAAAACGGAAAAAATACTTTTTGTGTCGTTTCTACCTTTAGTTTCCGGAAAAAGAATGTGGGGCATTTTGTCAACTGAGGTGTAATATATAAAGTTACCCTATTAATTACACATTTCAACAAGATTTTATTGATTCACAAAGTGAAAAAATATTTATAATTACAATCACATAAGGATTATTCAGTATATAGCATTGCAATCAATAAAATCTTGTTGAAATGTTCATTTAATAGGATAACTTTATACATTACGCCTCAGTAGACAAAATGCTCCATATTCTTTTTCCAGAAACTGAAGATAGAAAAGACACAAGTGTAACGTATTTTTTTCCATCGTGTTTTAGTATAACTTCCATTAAGGTACAGGGTACACTTCAATAATTTGTAATTTATTCACGTGTGAAAACAGTTTAAAATGGCTTTAATTTTAGCTATTTACTAATTTACTATCTATGTTTAAGTTTTCATGGATAAAGCAGTTTACACTACAAATTACAAAATGCTTCACATACAGTACATGTAATTTGTTTTCTACCAACAATTTATGTTATTTAAAGATGTGGAGCAAAATTATGTACAAAAAATTTTTCGAATTCTCTTAGATTCTAGTTAAAATCCATAATTTCCGAGATATTCAAGGTGTACAATTAAAATAAGATACCTTATATATTGTTGAAAAATTTAGATTAAAACATCATAGAAAGCAACAAAAGATATCAAAGAAGATAGATGAAAGCCACATTTTCGAAAAATAAATTCTCTACATTCTATGGCTATAAAGATAATGGTCATGAACTGAGTTTTAACACGTCGCTTATTGTGTAGCATTAAGCCCGGACAGATAATGCAAAACGTTTTTCTCTGTCAATTGTACCCTGACGCAGGTACTCTAACGCAGGTATCCTGACGCAGACATTATGCTTTTACCACATTTTCTTTTTCATTCTTTTAAGTATATCATCACGGTCAGTGATTCTTTATTGATTGGTCCGTCATGTTTTGTCAAATTTCACACAGTATTCAATCACAGAACTCCTATTACAGTAGATTAAATTAAATTAGGTTAAAGAGAGAGATTGAGAATATGTCCTTCTTTCTCGTGTGATTTTGAAAATCGTAATTATCGCCAGACTCTGATTTAAGTCTCTTTAAGTCTTATAGCCTTTTTAATATTGAATGCAAAAATATTTTTTAGTTTTCTTCTTATCGTATAATTTTTAAAAGAAATTATGTTCGTAATGTCGCTTCGGGAAAATAAAACTACACTGTCCGTCGGCAGTTTTGTCAATGAAAAGTTTCTTTTTACTTCTTCTACCGATTCATGAGAATAGTCCAGGCCCACCGTAAAAAGTTGCTCTAGTTTAGATGACTTCACGACCTTAAAAAATTCTGTTGCGCCTTCATGGTGGTGTAGTTCATTCTTTCGGATGTCAGATCAATCGTTCTTCATTGTTGCAAACGTAGTAAAGAAGAACGCATTTTTGTCTTTCCATCGTTTGTTGTCCGTGGTTGTCTTCTTGACCGTAAAAGTAGAGCATTTTTTCTCTTCTTTGAAGGAGCATTCTGCACGGTAATTATTAGAGAGCCGTGTAAATTTAAAGAATAAAGTAGCGACAAGTCGAGAGCATAAGTTTCTCGAAACAAGATGTGCGTCAAGAACTACTCGCATAAAAAATTTTCTGGTATGTAACTTGAATTCAGTCCGATTTTCAAAAAAACTTATATGATGTTGGTTAGAAAATTACGAGCATTCAAGATAAATATATAATGTTTTAAAGATGCAATTCTAAAATAAAAGATGCAATTTTTGTAACAACTAAACAGATACTATTTGCTTTCCATGATGTTCCTCTAAAAAATTTGTCTTGGTTTTTTTATTTATTCGGTAAACTTCATCGGAAAACGAAAATATATTATATTTATATATCGAAAAATTTAATAAATGTATTAATGAATAATTTATAACTATTATTACGTATTACCCAAAAATAATTATATGAGATAATTCATCTAGAGTTGATATTATATAAGCTTTGGAATTTTTAGTTAAAGAAAAATATTTATTATTATTAGTTTTATTCAACGTATAGTAATTAAAGAATATTGCGATCACATTATATATAATTTTGAACTTTTTTATTATATTATATTCAATAGTTGATATATAAAAATTGGACTCCTTATTCAATTTTATAAAAATATATAAATTTTATCTACTGAAGATACAAACTTATAGTTTCCATAATTTTATAGAGATTAGAATAATATTTCTAGGTATTCAATTTGTCAATAAAACTTTTCATATTTCACAATTTCATACCAGAAGGAGAAAAAATACATGATCGATATTCTCCAATGAAAAGAAAAGCATTTGGATCGACAAAATCGGCGGTCAACCGCCTTCAAAGAAATATTATATTTATTAAATAAGTTACGCGTTAGTGAAGTTGATATAGTTACTGATTGAATTGCAATCATTGAATTAATTGATATATATATATATATATATATATACAGGGTGTTCAAAAAGTCCCGGACCGGTGAAATATCTCGAAAACTAAGCATTTTAGAACAAAATGTTTCAGATAAAAGTTGT